ATTTGCTATAGGGCACGTGGACTCACCAGAGGGAGGAAGGAGAGAGAGAGAGGGTAAGCCCAGAACTCCATCTGCAGCCGGCCCTGTGGGAGTCCGGGCCTCTGCCACCACACCACCTGAATTAGAATTCAGCGCCCTGCACCAGAATTCTAATCCTACCTGCAGAGGCCTAGGCTGGCGGAAAACGTGCTGGTCCTCGCTCCACACTACAGCCCTGCCCGATTCTGGCTGTGCTGCGGTCTGAGACCTAGCGCGACCTTCCCGCCGTCTGTCCACTCTCTGGGCTGTCCCCTTGGCCGTGCACTCGGTTCTCGCCTTGAGTCTCAGGAGCCTCATCCGTGAAGTCAGTCTGTCTGCTGGGCCGAACTTCCCAGAATTTTCCAGGCCCCTACTGCACGCTGCCCAGCCCTGCCGGCGCTGTCGGGGCTCCTGTCCCTCATGGCTCCACCGTCCAGGGGTGACCCTTTGGCCTTTCTCCAGCAGCCCCTACCCGGGGATCCTTCACTGTCCACTTCCTGTCCCTGGATTCCGCTGGGACTCTGCACCACAAGAGCTGCTACCAGGGCCGCTTCCAGCTTCTCTACGTGGCCTGCGGGTGAGAGAACACCTGCTCCCCCAGACCCAGGAGCCCAGGCCCCACCCCCAGCCCCGGAGTCTAGGGCCCAGGGCCCCCCTTAGACCTGGGCTGCCCAGGCACCCAGCCCCTCCTCCCGCAGCCCCTGGGTCCAGGCCCCAGGCCCTCCACCCTCAGACCTGGGGCTCAGGCCCCAGCTCCACCTCCTCCAGATCCAAGCCCCTAGCCCCTCCTCCCGCAGACCCGGGCCCGGGCCCCCAGCGCCTCCTCTGGTAGCCCCGGGGTCCAGACCCCAGCCCCTCCACCCTCAAAGGGGTTCAGGGCCCGGCCCCACCTCTTCCAGACCTGGGTCCCCAGTCCTCTGCCCTCTGAGCCGGGAGCCCAGGCCACAGCACCCCCTCCCCCAGGCGGAGGCCTGGTCTCCAGCTCCTCGCTGGGAGCCCACGTCCCCGCATGCTCCGTCTGCGGACCGTGGGAGTCAGCCTGCTTCCCCCCTGCAGGATGGTCCATCTCCTCGGCCCTGAGCTCGCGGCCTGCGTGGCCCCCGGAGGGACCCTGACGGTGGAGTTAGCCCAGTGAGCCAGCGGGGTGCTGGGGGTGGGTGTGGGCGCGGGGGCCGCAGGCGTCCCTAACACCCTGCTCCCGGGCTAGGTACTTGGTGGACCTGCGGCCGGAGCAGCTGCGGGCATTCTCTGCCCGGGTGGGGGAGCTGGCGCGGGGCGCTGGCTTCGCCCCGCAGGCGGCGGCCAGGCCCTCAGAGACCTTCGCGCGTTTCTACAAGGCGGGGGACTCTGCCCAGGACCGGGACGCCTCCCGCCTGGCGGTGGAATCCGGGGCCCTGCTCCTGGCAAGGACGAGCCCGCCCTTGGAGGACCCGGCCCAGCAGCGGCCAGGCGCTGCCTCGGTCTCAGAGACTCGGGATTCAGGCTTCGAGGTTGTGGCTCCATCCGAGCTGGTCTCTGGTCAGACCCCGGAAACCAGAGTCTGACCCGACCCTGGACGCCATGGCCCGCAGCTCTGACCTCCACAGCCAGGTCCTGGAATTAACCCAAGACTCCCCGTGGAGTTCTGCAGTTGGCTCTGCAGGCTGCACGGGAGGTGAGGCTGGAGGTTCGGATCCTTTCTGCCTCCCAGTCCTGAATGCCTCTGGGAGTCTGCCTTCTGCTCCTGGGACTCAAGGAACCAGGCCTGGAGGTCTGACCTGAGTCTCAGCCTCTGCCTCAGACCCTGGCCCCTCCTGACGGGTGGGAGGCCGCGAGCACCCGAGTAAAGATTCCAGCCCTATTCTGTGTCCCAGTGTCTTAACTGTCGGCCATCTGCCTCCAGGGGTAGGAGCAGGGAGGCCCGAGTGGTGGAGAGAAGGCCAGATCTCTGGGTCCAAGTCTACTGGGGTGGGTCCGAAGGACTCTGCGAGGAGCTGCAGGGGTGATGACCTTGTGAGGCAGATAGTGGGAGGGAGAAGCGGGAGAACAGAGACACTTCAGGAGGGCTGTGTGGGGGGCAGGTGCTGTGGTGGTTAGGGCACTGGACTGCCACATGGGAGAGTGCAGTTCAGGTCCCGGGCCTGGTGGCTTCTTGCTTTCCCTTGCTCTCTCTGTCCCTCTCTGGTCAAATTTAAAAAATTAAAGAATAACAACAAGGGGCTGGCAGGTGACATGGTGAAGGGTGCTGGACTCCCACACGGCCAACCGCAGTTCAAGTCCTGGACCTGGTGGCTTGCTTTCTAACTTACTTTCTTTCTCCCTCTTCCTCTCTGCTCAAATTAAAATAAGTAAAATAAACAAAAGTTAAATAAAATAATTAAAAGAATAACAAATGCAATGAAATAAATCTTAAAAACAACAACAAAGGGACCAGCAGGTGGCGTAATGGCTACATTGCTGGAATCCCATGTAGTCGACGGCAGTTCGGGTCCCGGACCCAGTGACTTAAACTCACACTGGGCACGTGTGCATGCGTGCCCAGGATCCTGAGAGGAGAATGGAGAAGGGATTGCGGCGTGGCCATCCCCTGGGGGGTGATTTCTTGTTTTCTGTCTCTCTCTGCCTCTCTGGCAGGAACATGTGCCCTGTAGCAAAACCTCTCTAAAACAATAACAAAGGACCATCTTTGACTTAAACTGACTCCCTACAGCAAGGTGAACAAGCCCAAAGAAAAAGGAACCCGCCAGAGGCAGTCCAAGGGGACCTAGTCTAGGTGGACGAAGGGTCTAAAACCCGATAAAGAGAACCCCAAAAGGGAGGAGGCCGGCTTGCCCCCTTGGCACAGGCCGCCCTGCCCTGCCCTGCCCTGCTGGTGGGACACCACCTCAGTAAACCTTGCTGATCCAGCCTGCGGGCCTTAACTCCTTGCTGTGACCAGGACACCTGCCCTGCTCTCTGGACCTAACTGCCTGGCTGGGGCTCTGGGGCCCCACACTGACCTCACCCAGACTGCGGTGAGCCTGGGCAGGTCCAAGGGAGGAGGGCTGGGGGCCTGACACCGGGGGTGGGAGAGAGGAGGGCTGGGGGCTGGGGCTCCTGGGCAGGCAAGGGGAGGGCTGGGACTCTGTTCAGAGGGAGGAGGGCCTGGCGCTCAGGCCTGCTGGGCACGCGCCCTGTTATCTCGCACCCTGGCCGGGGAGGAGGGGGCCCCAGTATATTTAGTCTCTGTCCTTGCTCAGTGTCCTATCTCTGTCCTCACTGGCGCCTGAGCAGCCCTGAGGAGACTGCAGACCTCCAAGGTCACCGCGGACACCCCTTGCCACTGAGAGCCCCCTGCCCCCTCTCTGTCTCTGGACCCCCGATCTGAGTCTCTGCATGGCAGATGAGTGAGTGAAGCTTGAACCAGGACCCCGGAGGCCCCAGGGCGCTAGGGTGTGGGGCGATCTCGGTTCCTGGGAACTGCGAGGTTGGACCCCTGGGAATGGAGTTGGGAGGCGGGGGCGGGGGTGAGATCCCTGGACAGGGACAGGGGGTGAGTCTGGGAGCCACTCCTGGGACCCGAGCAAGGAGTAGCCTGCGATGCGACCTCTTGGTCAGATGGGCCCCTAGGATCTCTTAGGAGACCGTCAGGACTCTGACCACCGTTACTCCCCGCCCGTTTCTCTCCCACCAGGGTCAGCGATGCTGTGAGAACGCTACAGCGTGGGCTGGGACCTCCTGGCACTAAAGAGAGGGCCCTGGGTCGGAGGCTGCAGCCGGGGAGAGCGAAAGGGGAAGGACCGCGTGCGGTCTCGGTCCTGATCGGGCCGGTTCACCCAGCCCCAGGCGGGCACTGCAGGGAAGGGCCTGGGGCGGGAGGCTGCAGCCCTAGGAGAGCGGATGGGGAATGGCTGCGTGGGGTCTCGGTAGTGATGGGGCCCCGCTTCCCCAACCCCAGGCGGGAGACCCACGCCCGGCGCCGGCGCCGGTCCGACGCCGCTCCTCGGCCAACTACCGCGCTTACGCCACCGAGCCGCACGCAAAGGTGGGCGGGGCTTTGCGGGGCGCGATTCGGGGCCCGCCCACCGGGACCAGCCAGGACCTCAGATGGGGGCGGGGCCTGGGTCGTGGACCGAGCCCGGGCGGACCGGCGCTTGGAGGGCGGGGTTTGGCGGAGGCCGGGCTTCGGGAGAGCGGTCTTTGGGCGGAGCCCCGCTGCCCGTGGGCCGGCTTTGAAGTGGGTGGGCGGTACCTAATCAGAGTCAAAGCCACAGATTGGTGCATGGGTGTGAGGGGCGTGGCTTCCCGCCTGCGTTCGAACTGGACGCGGGCCCAAATCCCGACCCACTAATCGAGGGGAAGGAAGCATCTTGCAGCCCCTCCATCATGTACCTTCGAATCCTTCTCCTTGAACCTTCCTGCCCCATCTCACCGTGGCAGAAAAAGTCCAAGATCTCCGCCTCGAGGAAACTGCAGCTGAAGGTGAGAGGAGCAGGCAGAGGAAACAGGGGCGGAGCTTGAACGCTTGGATGGGCCTGCCGTCGGGTGGGCGGGGCTTAGTCGTTGGGGGCGTGGCTTACGTGGAGCGCCTCGCTGGGGGCGGGACAGGGCTTTGGGATGCTAGAGCTCTCCCTCGAAGGGTGATCTCTGAATACAGAGGAGGCCTGGGTTAGAGTAGGCGAGGTGGAGGCGGTTTCCGCGGGGGTCTTTATCCCGTTGTCCTGGGTGGGCTGCGGCCCCCTCCCGCCTTCCGCAGACTCTGATGCTGCAGATTGCGAAGCAGGAGCTGGAGCGGGAGGCGGAGGAGCGGCGCGGAGAGAAGGGGCGCGCTCTGAGCACGCGTTGCCAGCCTCTGGAGCTGGGTGGGCTGGGCTTCGCGGAGCTGCAGGTGCGAGCTCCCTGCCCAGCCAGCCTGGACCTGAGGCTTCTCTCATTTTGCATCCCCTGGGCCTCAGAAGTAGTCACTATTAGCCCCTCCACCCCACCTCCTGCTCAGAACCCAGGGGTCCAACATGGCAAGCCTTACTTTCAGGAGTTCAGACATGTGGCCTGAAGCTGCCTACAGTCCGAGACCCAAAGGTTGTCCCTCCAGCCCTTGTCCTGTTAGATCCTCCTCCAGGACCAGACGTCCCAGCCCCCAGTCCCTCCTCTCTCAGAGCCAGGAGCCAGGTGCTCCAGCCTCCCCTACAGCCCAGCCCACATTCTCCACCAGGACTTGTGCCGACAGCTCCACGCCCGCGTGGATAAGGTGGATGAAGAGAGATACGACGTGGAGGCCAAAGTCACCAAGAACATCACAGAGGTGGGACACGGGCCGTGGGAGCCTGCAGGCTGGGAAGTGCTGATCTCAGCGTGACCCTACAAAATGCTGTTGGCAGCACACCCCTGACACCAAGGCCAGAAGGGTATAGCGGGGAAGCAGAGCACGTGTGTGTGCAGACGGTTTGGGGCTCAGGGAACTGTGACTTGCACGTGGCTGAACTGGGCCGTGCTGTGTTTTGGAAGATGAGGCTGAGGTGTGTCAGGGAGGCCTCCGAGTCCCAGGATTGGATGGTTGGACTGGAAGCCCGAGCTGGGAAGAGCCTGAAGTGCTGGGAGGCAGGATGGGGCAGGAGGAGAGCATGGCAGAGCAGTGCAGTGAGAGGGACGCAGAGGGAAGGGCACCCAGCTCCCCATATGGCCACCCCCAGATCGCCGATCTGACCCAGAAGATCTTCGACCTCCGGGGCAAGTTTAAACGGCCCACCCTGCGGAGGGTGAGGATCTCTGCCGACGCCATGATGCAGGCGCTGCTGGGGACCCGCGCTAAGGAGTCCTTGGACCTGCGGGCCCACCTCAAGCAGGTGAAGAAGGAGGACACTGAGAAGGTGAGTGTGGGCGGGGCCAGGAAAGGGGTGCTGGGCGGGGGAGCCTAGCCTGAGGCCAGCTTGGAGCTAGCCAGAGCAGCAGCCAGTAAGGAGCCCTCCGTGGGAAGGCCAGCACAGACACAGTAAATGCAAGAGGGGCGGAAGTAGGAGCAGACAGGAAGTGAGTGCGCGGGGCTGCAGGAAGTCCCTGAGAGAAGGGCCTGAGGGGACATGGGCTGGAAGGCTGGGATAATAGGGAGAGCTGAAAGGAGACAGGAAGTGCATGGAGCGGCGGGAAGTGCCTGAGGGACACGGAAGTGCATGGGGCATGGGGGGAACCGGCCGGCAATGGGGCACTAGAGACGACCTAGAACCGCCCGCTGGCAGCGTTGGCAGTCAGTGGGCAGCAGGCGGGCGGCGCAGCGGGGCGGGCGGTGGGAGGCCGGGGGCCCTGACTCGGATGCCGCCCCCAGGAGATCCGAGAGGTGGGAGATTGGCGCAAGAACATCGACGCGCTGAGTGGCATGGAGGGCCGCAAGAAGAAGTTTGAGGGCTGAGCCGCCTGGCGGGCGGGGCGAGCATGGCCGGGGTGAATAAAGCGTAACCTGAGTGCCTGGAGTCTAGTACCTGCCTGCGACGCCGGGGGGACCCGGAGCTGAGTGCCTGGAGTCTAGTACCCGCCTGCGACGCCGGGGGGAAGCAGAACCGGCTCAGGGAGCCTGCGAGCCGCACAGCAGGGCAGGGGCCACATGGGTGCACGGACATGCCCAGGGCAGGGTCCAAAGAGAAAGATGCACAGAGACACCGAAATGGGGGGAAGCCAGAGACCCAGAGAGCGGGAAAGGGCACATGGATGGGGCGCAGAGACAGGACGGAACAGAGACGACACAGCAACCCTACAAAAGGCCGAAGCACAGCTCCAGAGACACAGAGGCACCCTGAAAGAGCTCAGAATAGAGACATGGACAGGACACAGAGACCTGGACCAGAGACACAGAAACGGGCTCACAGCAGACAGCCCACAGCGCTGGCCGACACCGAGGGCAGACATGCAGAGACACTAAGGGGCCCGGACACAGAGATGCAGAGAGAGCTCGAGACAGACTCGAGAGAGCCAAGAGAAGTATCCAAACGGAAAGACGGAGGCCAGGAGAGGCAAGGAGCGAGGTCTGCGGGGGGTGGCAAGCTGCTATCCAGGCTGCTCCCTGGAGTTCAAGGTCATGGTTGGGCTGGAAGGGGGTAGGGGATACCAAAAAAGACCAGCACCAGATGGAGGTGGGGATAGCGAGGGCCAGGGCTGCAGGCCTGAGTGACCGCCCTCTCCCTCCCCCACACACCTGCTTCCCAACTTTAGGCCTGTTGTCATCAGGGTGGAATCCTGGTGGCAGACAAAGGAGTGGGGGAGGGGGGAAGGGGGAGATGGACAGAGACAGACACACACAGAGATGCACAGATGTGAGAGCCACAGAGACTTAGAGACACAGACACGTGGAGAAATAGAGGCTGAGAGACCCAGGAAGGGGGACAGGCCTGCAGACGGAAGTGTCGTCCAGGACCTACTGTGTGCTGCACAGGGCTTTCAGACCATGGGGCTGTGTGCTCCAGAGGAGGTAGCAGGAGCACTGGGGGGGGGGTGATGCTCCAGGGCGCCCTGTGGCTGAGGGCGGGGGCTGTGGAGCAGCCAGAGGGTGCCTGGAATCTGAGCCAGAGCCAGGGCAGGCAGGGCAGTCTGAGCTGGGCCTGGGGTAGGGCACAGGAATTCTCCCCCCCCAGGGGCGGGGCTGAGCCTCACATATAAACCCCCTGTTCTCTGGCTCCCCAGCACGCTCAGCCCCCACTTCCAGCAGCTGCCGGCCCAACCTTAGGTAACAGGGTCCAGTGGGCTGTCCTTGGGGAGGGGGCAGGGCTGGAGAGTTGGGGAGACAGAGGTCTGGGGAGGGGTGTGTAACTAGCAGGAGTGTGACCTAGAGGTTTGAGGATCTGGGAGACTCACGCTTTTGGGGGCCTGGAAGGCAGGGGAAGGACTGGGGTACATGGCTGTGGACATGGTGATGCCGGGCTGAGGTGTCAGAAATCCAACTGTCTGGGCCTGGAGGCTGGCTACTCCAGCTCCCAGGACTGGGGTAGGACCCTGAGGGCATCACAGCTGAGAGGGGCCAGGGAGTCTGGGGTTTCCGGGATTGGGGCGCCAACCCCTTCTGGTTGGAGTCTGCATCTGACGCAAGGTTCTGGGCTCAACCCTGAGGCTTTGGGATCTAGGTGGTCTTAAGACCTGGGTGGGGACCAGCTTCTTAGGATGTCTGAGCTCACACTGGACTATCAAGAATCGGGTCGGGAACCAGCAATTAGCGTAATGGCTATGTGGCTGGACTCCCATGTAGTCGACCGCAGTTCGAGTCCCGGACCCGGTGGCTTAAACTCACTCCGGGCACATGTACGTGCATGCCCAAGATCCCGAGAGGAGAAAAGAGGAGAAGAGATTGTGGCGTGGCCATCCTCCCTGGGGGGTGATTTCTCGCTTTCTGTCTCTGTCTCTGTCTGGCGAGTGCACACGCCCTATAGCAAAAACCTCTCAAAAAAAAAAAAAAAGAAAAAAATTGGGGTTGAGAATCTGCCAGTCTGGGATGCCGGGCTTGGGCACTGGGGCTGAGACCAAGGCCCTGGAGGACCGCCGGGCACTGGGGGTCTCTTAACCGTCTGCCTCTGTCGGGTGCAGCACCGCTGAGTGTTCAGGGCCAGGGTGAGGCCTACTAGACATGGCCCCATGGGTGCGGCTGAAGGTGAAGAGATGGTGGGGAGAACCAGCCACATGGGACGCGAGGCATGGGGGTGACAAACCCCTCCAGGAGCACCCCCTCAAATCCCTTCTTAGGAAATGTCCTCTGTGTCACAGGCAATGACATCCCCCCAAAATAGCCACTGGGGGTGGGGCAGCTATTGTCTTCAGGCTGCTGTCCCTTCTGGAATGCCTCCTCCTAATCCCACCTCGGGTCGGGTTCCCATGGACCTGTTTTAGGACAAAGGGGACAGCTGTGGGGGCGGGGCCTGCAGCCTCAGGGCTGTGCCAGCTCTGGGCCCCAGCCCCTCTGCCCCCGACCTGAGCCCAGGCCTCTGGCGCCCCTCCCTCGGTTCCAGGACCCCGCCAGCCCTGCTGACCTCAGCCCCGCGGGCCCCTCCCTCAGCCCCGCGGTCCCGCCCCGGCCCCCGCCCAGTCGGCCTCTCGTCCTTAGGTCGCCCCGGGATGTCGGACGCCGAGGAGCAGGAGTATGAGTGAGTGACTGGGGAGGCGGGCGGAGTGGGGCGCCCCCCAGCAGCGCTAACCGCGCCTTCTCTCCACGTGGTGCCCAGGGAGCAGGCGGAAGGTGAGTGGGCGGCGGGCGGCGGGCGGCGG